AGGAGGTTGAGACTGCGGTGAGATGTGATTGCACTCCAGCCCAGGTGACACAGTGAGACTGTCTTTTTAAAAAAGTAGGTTTTAATCTTCATAACACTCTGTTATGGACTGAATTCTGTCTCCCTTAAATTCATATGTTGAAGCCCCAATCCCTAGTGTGACCGTGTTTGAAGTTAGGGCCTTTGAAGAGGCAGTTAAGGGAAAAAACAGTCATATAGGTGCACCCTAGTCCATTATGACTGGTGGTATAAAATAAGAAGAGAAAGAGACACACACAGAGGACAGGCATGAGGACACAGCAAGCAGGGGGCTGTCTGCAAGCCCAGCAGAGAGACCACAGGAGCACCCACACCTGCTGCCATCTTGATCTTGGATTTCCCGCCTCCTGAATGGTGAGAAAAGAAACAGCAGTTGTTTAAGCCACTCATTCCAGTCTTCTGCCATGGCAGTCCTAGCAAATTAATACTCATCCCTTCAAGAAAGGAAATAGGATCCCGACTTCTCAGATAAAAGAGAACGTGGTTCAGAGAGGTGAAGACTTTTCCCAAGGTCCCACAGATGGGAGGTGGTGATGGTGGAATTCAGACCCAGGTGCGTCTACACTAAAGCTCTGAGCCTTTCCACTGCACTTGCGTTTGGCACTGCCACAGCCGAGGCACTGGGTACAGCCGAGGTCCTGGGTAAATGAGGGCAGGGATGAGGGCACTACTGTTGTGTCTCCATGGCCAGCCGCGGTCCCCATCACAGCACTTGAATGTTGGATGAGTGTCTTTGCCTCAAATAACTTTATGATTTGGGTTAGATAAGAAACCAAGCAAGTACGAACCTGCATTAACCTCCAGACTGTTTTGGTGAAAGTTCTTGGAATAGTAATTCAGGGAAGAGAAAGTTCTGGGCAGTCTGGAACAGCCAGAGAAACTTTTAGGAGGTAGACAGGACTCTGCCTGGACCTCAGTTCTCAGGTGCCAGGATGAAGGGTTGTCGCCAGTTACCATCCATGTCCAGTGGATTATTTATTTACTTTCATATTGTAAGTCATCCTGTGAATACTTTACAAAAGTGAGAATAAAAGTGTAGTATAAACAGCTTTACTAAAAATTTTAATGAGAATGCATACATAGCTGACCTCCTTGCATTGGGTTAATTGTAAGCCACAAACATAATTAAAAATGAAACACTGCAGTCACATGTCCTTTTTTTCTTTTTTTTTTTTTTAAATAGAGTTTTTACTTTTGTCACCGAGGCTGGAGTGCAATGGCGCGGTCTCGGCTCACAGCAACCTCCGCCTCCTGGGTTCAAGTGATTCTTCTACCTCAGCCTTCCAAGTAGCTGGGACTACAGACATGTGCCACCATGCCTGGCAATTTTTTTTTTTTTTTGTGTGTTTGTGTGTGTGTGTGTTTTAGTAGAGACGGTTTCACCATGTTGGTCAGGCTGGTCTCAAACTCCTGACGTCAGGCGATCCACCTTCCTCGGCCTCTCAAAGTGCTGGAATTATAGGTGTGAGCCACTGTGCCCGGCCACATGTCCTTTTAACAAAAGGAGATGATCCAGGTTCTTGTCATACATTATTGCATGATGAAGTCTTTTCTGTTGATTAACAGGGCGAGAATGCTAAATTTCCTTTTTGTTCTTAAAAAACCACATTGCCATGTATGTACCTTTGCAACAATCCTGTAAGATCTGTACATGTACCCCAGAACCTAAAGTATAATTAAAAAAAATATTTGCTGTTCACGCATTGCTTCTTAAGTTTGAGGACACTTACTTAGGATGGTGTCATCTGAGGCCTGATAGCCTGAGCTTTCACTTTAAGGATACATTTTACTGTCATTATTAGTGTCTAGAGTGCCACTCTGTCTCTTTTCATTTCATTTTCTGGTTCATCTAATAATTTGAAATGTCTTTTTCTGTTCATTTTATTTTCTTTGCCTTTATGGGTGGAAAACGAAACACTTGACTTGTCAAGTGTGTTCAATGAAGACAAAAAGCACCCTACAAAGATGGTGTCTCCTGCCTTCTTTTACAACTTCTTGAGAGATGGTGTCATTCTTTGGGTAATAAGAAAATGAAAGGAACAGTTTGGCGGTTCCTCAATAAAACTAAAAATTGAGTTACCAGATGATCCAGCAATCCCACTGCTGGGTATAAAATCCAAAAGATAGGAACTCAGTATATCAAAGAGGTGTCTGCACTCCTGTGTTTGTTCCAGCACCATTTACAATAGCTAAGATTTAGACGCTAAGTTTACGACAGCTAAGATTTGGAAGCAACCTGTGTCCATCAACCGATGAATGCAAAGAAAATGTGGTACGCGTGGACAATGGAGTACTGTGCAGCCATTCAAAGAATGAGACCCAGTCATTTGCAACAACGTGGATCAACAACCTGGAGCCTGGGTGCGTTGGCTCACGTCTGTAATCCCAGCACTTTGGGAGGCTGAGGTGGACGGATCACGAGGTCAGGAGTTTGAGACTAGCCTGACCAACATGGTGAAACCTTGTATCTACTAAAAATACAAAAGTTAGCCAGGCGTGGTGGTGCACGCCTGAATCCCAGCTACTCAGGAGGCTGAGGCAGGAGAATTGCTTGAACCCCGGAGATGGAGGCTGCAGTCAGTTGAGATCGCTCCACTGCACTCCAGCTTAAGAGACAGAACAAGACTCCATCTCAAAAAAAAAAAAAAAAAATGACCTGGAGATCATTATGTTAAGTGAAATAAGCCAGGCACAGAAAGACAAACATCGAATGTTCTCACTTATTTGTGGGACCTAAAAATCAAATCAACTGAAGTCACAGACATAGAGGGTAGAAGGACGTTACCAGAGGCTGGGAAGGGCAGTTGGGAGGGATGTGGGGATGGTTCCTGGGTACAATAAAGCTTGAAAGAACAAACAAGACCTATTATTTGATAGCACAATAGGGTGACTATAGTCAATAATAACTTAATTGTATACTTTAAAATACAGAATGCAATTGGATTATTTGTAACTCAAAGGATAAATGCTTGTGTGGATGGATGACCCATCCTTCATGCTTTGCCTATTTCACATTGCATGCCTGTATCAAAACATCTCGTGTGCCTCATAAATACATACACTTAGTAGGTACTCACAAAAAATTAAAAAAACAATTGAAAATTGTTTTTAAAAAGGAAGGCTGCTGAGCTGTCTCACTATTGCATCATCCTTCTGGGCAATGCCATCGTTCTTCCACTTCAAAATTATTTTCATCATTTTTGGCAGGGCTGGGAACACTTGTTACTTAACAGTTGGGTCACTTATCAGTTGTTCCCAACCCTGCCAAAAATGATGAAAATAATTTTTGTTTTTTAAGATGGAGTTTCACTCAGTAGCCCAGACTGGAGTGCAGTGGCACGATCTTGCTCACTGCAACCTCTGCCTCCCGGGTCCCAGTTCAAGCAATTCTCCTGCCTCAGCCTCCCAAGTAGCTGGGATTACAGGTACTTGCCACCATGCCCAGCTAATTTTTGTATTTTTAGTAGAGACAGGGCTTCACCATGTTGGCCAGGCTGGTCTTGAACTTCTGACCTCGTAATCTGCCTGCCTCAGCCTCCCAAAGTGTTGGGATCTATGGGTGTGAACCACCATGCCCAGCTGAAAATAGTTTTGAAATGGGAGAATGATGGAATTATCAGGATAATAGTAATTGAATAACAATAATTCCCAGGATAATGAAATAGTAAAGTGTCTTAAGATATAAGAAAAATAAGATCACCTGGATTCTGTCATGGGTCTTATTCACATTGCTCTTGATAGAAACGATCCCAGGGACCCATATGGTAATTGTAAAATAAAATACGTTTTATTTGGTAAAAAATATGTAAACTCTCTCTTTGTTCTTTGAAAGACCTCTAAGAAGAAAAGGCGTAATACATCAATCTTTGCAAAGCCTTAGAATTTACAAAAAGAAACACAACAGAGAATTGGGAACTATGGGTGAGGATCGACAGGCACTGACGACATGGGAGGCAGGTTTGGCAAACAAGCACAACAGCGAGAGGCAATACAGGAGAGGCAGTCAGTGAGAAAATCACCATGGCTGACGCTTTGCTGGGGAGAGAGGGATCAATCAGGTTGGAGGATTGTGATGGCCGCGCATCAGTTTGAGTCACATGGACTCTATTCTGCAGGCAAGAAGCGGTGAGTCTGGAGGGTTTTGAGCAGGGTGGCATGAGACATGCAAACATCTTCTTGGCTGTATTTTTTTTCTTTTTCTAGCATTGTGGAGCTTTATTCCCAAGGAAAAAATATAGCTTTTGGGCTGGATGTGGTGGCTCATGCCTGTAATCCCAGAACTTTGCGAGGCCAAGGTGGGCGGATCATGAGGTCAGGAGATCAAGACCATCCTGGCCAACATGGTGAAACCCCATCTCTACTAAAAATACAAAAATTACAGGGAGGGGAACATCACACACCAGGGTCTGTCAGGAGGAAGGGGTGAGGGGGAGGGATAGCACTGGGAGAAATACCTAATGTAGATGACGGAGTGATGGATGCAGCCAACCACCATGGCACATGTATACCTATGTAACAAACCTGCATATTCTGCACATATACCCCAGGACTTAAAGGATAATAATAAAAAAAAAATCCAAAAATTAGCTGGGTGTGGTGGCAGGTACCTGTAATCTCAGCTGTCGGGAGGCTGAGGCAGGAGAATGGCTTGAACCAGGGAGTCAGAGGTTGCAGTGAGCCGAGATCATGCCACTGCACTCCAGCCTGGTGACAGAGCAAGGCTTTGTCTCAAAACAAAAAAAATATCACTTTTAACATGTAATAAAAACCATACATAAGAATCTTAACATTCAGTTCCGATCATTGTGCATTTATTTGCAAGGACTTCAGTAGGGACTACATTCATTAACACAAATTAAAACCCACATGCTGTTTTCAAAGCCTATTAAAACTATACACCTATGAACAAGTAAGCTATTTAGTTAAGCTCTGTTTCATTGGAAGTTTGCATTGACTCCCCAGGTCTTGAATGCTTTAGGTGCCACACTGGCTGGCCATTAAGGGTCGTGATGAAAAATCCCAGGAAGCTGAAGAGTGAACATGATCATAATCTCTAAAATGGTAAGTAGAGTGGATACAGTGGACATGCACATATTGTTTCAAATTCTGGAGGAATTTCATAGGAAAGAAGCTTATGGAATCATTATCCCAAGAGGTGGTAGTGCCTGCAAAAGTGATTTCAAAGATTAAGATACTTGCGGAGATGACAGTTATAATTGGCTATTAAAGAGAATGAAGTGCTTTGGGTGGTGCACCCCAGAGGCCGCTGGCAGGGCGGTACGTTTCCAGCTTCCTAGGCAGAGAGTCATACCTGGCATGGCCTTTCTCGCATCCTTGGGAGGCAGTTTGCTCCAAGAGATGCATCTTGTTTTCAGGACACATTCCCATTGACTTTTTTTTTTTTTTTAAACAAAAAAAAAGCCTTTATTGTTGACTGGGCTCAGGAAGTGGTTCTCACTGGGGGTCTCTTGTGAGGTTGCAATAAGACATTGATGGGCGCTCCAGGCATCTCAAAGGCTGTCTGCTAATGCTGTTTGCTAGGACTTCCACTGGGGCTGAGGAGTGGAACACATATACTCAGCCTCTCCAAGGTCGCCTGGGTTTCTTCACAACATGGCAGTGAGGACTGAAGAGCAAGTGCCCCGAGAGAGCCAGGCTAAAGTACCTTTCATAGTCTAGCCTTGGAACATACACAGTGTCACTTGGCTGTGTTCTGTTCTTTTCCTTAGAAATGTGTCCCTAAGTCTAGCTCATATTCAAGGCTAGGGGATTAGACTTCACCTCTTGAGGGGAGACCCATTGACTTGGGAAAGAAAAAACTTGGTTGTCATTTTATTATTATCACATATTGATAATCATTATACCTAACATTCCCTCTGTTCCATCCATTCAATGAGTCAAGCATTCATTCATTTAGCAAATACTTATAGTTAGGCATTTTGGCCACACTTACATCTGAATAGGGCTTCACGGTTTTCAGACGAACTTCATATCCAGTATTTGACTTGGTATTCTTAACAACCATGTGTGAGGGCTAGGTGTGTTTAATTACTTCCATTTTTCAGATAAAGCAATAAGAGGCTGGGAGATGCATCCAAAGTCTCTGTGCCTGGTCCAGAGGTCATTCAAACCCAGCTTTGTCCTGGAAGCACGTTCTTTCCACTCACCACCCAGAACACCATCTTCCTCTCTCTCTCAAAATATCCAAGACTGGAGAGGAGGATAGACAGCCAGATAGACTTGCTCTGAGGTACCATGACTTTTGCATGGCGTGACCACAGTTGGGGCCTTTTAGGGTGAAAGGCAGCACTATTAATAATTACCCTGGGGTGGCAGGCATGAACCAGGATACTGTACAGAGGGTCACTTCACCCACAGATGGTCAAATAACTGGAACCCAAGTATCTTGTGCTTTTCTGTAAAATCATGCCTTATTTTTTAAACTTCCTATCTCTTTGAGCAAAACCAACAAATGCTATCAGAGCCACAAGGATTTGAGTGACCCACAGCTCCCCAGGAGAAGGCACGAGGGCATCTACGTGCATACATGCAACTGCTCGGCTGGCTCCTGGAACCCGGCCCATTCCACATGAACTGAAGGTATCTGGGGTATGGGTTTGGGGTTGCTGGGCAGAGGCCGGCAGGGATATGGTCCAGCCATCCCAGGTGTCTCATTTCCCTCTCCTGCTGTATCACTGGTTGGGGAGGCAGGAAGACCACATTCTGGAGAGAGTGGGACTGCAGAGCCCTGGAGTGAATATTGGGCATCACTGTAGCCCTTCCTGGGCAGAAATGGCCAGGCCCTTGTACCCCACCTGCCTCAGTCACTCGGTGCTGGGTGTCCAGGAAGCATGCACTGGAGAGCGGCTCAGACTGCTGGGATTCACTCAGGGTGGCTGCAAAATATTAGGGAAATACTAGGGAAAGTTAGAAGATTATAGTCTCAAGCCTTTTGGGAGGCAGAAAAGTTTTAATGGAACAGGCTGAAGGTAGCCAGTTAATTAGGTTAGAATTTTAAGTCATAGGGTAAAAGATTAGGGACAAGAAAGCTTTCCAGTTCGGTCTGCTTACCCCACATCCCTTTGTCTCTACTCTGTTTACTCATGTAAACTTTGTGCTGGATGGTCCTCTCAGGGGAAGGTCGAAGGGGAATTACCTGTGAATGGTGTTAACTCTGGGCCCTGGGATCAAGACCTTTTATCATTCATAAAACCGTTCTTTTAACCATGTTAATTATCTGCAAGCATGTTGACTTAGAGCCTCTGTTATTAAATCTATACTGAATACATGTGAGGAGGTATAGGGAGGCATGGTTGGTTAGCTGCAATCGCCCTCTGAAAGCAGTTGATGACCATCCCTAGCCCTCTTGAAATCATCATACTGGGTGTGAGAGTGCATTCATCCATCCGTCATTGACTCAGGGTCTGCAGGACAGACCTCCACAGGTGGTGATCAACGTCTCAGGTGGTGACCCCTACATGATTGAGGTCTCAAGTGGTGACTCCGAGGTGATTGAGGTCTCAAGAGACCTCTCTAGTTGAGGCAGATCCAGAAGGAGCTGCGAGCTGGCAGCTCTGTGCTGACCCTGCTTCCCACAGCCAGGCCCCAAGGCTTTCCTTCAAGGGGACCTGGGGCACATCTCATACCCCTTCAGGTTGTTATAGAAAAAACCAGAAAATGGAAAGAACCTGTCTATTTAAAATTAGATATGGTTTCAGGATTGAAGGGACTCATATCTGGGGTAGGTTCTTCCCACTCATTAGTTCATGTGACCCTGGACATGTCCCTTTTCCTTCCTGGAACTCACTGTTCTCATCTGTAAAAGTGAGAGAGCCAAGTTACATTAGGAGCTTGCCTGGCTCCACTGCTCTGTAGTCATGAAGTTATTTAGTATCTGGGCTGGGCAGAGTTCTCTGCCCGTTAGAGTGGGTTGGAGCAAGCCTTTCCGCTCTTGGTTGGGGATATTTGTTACAGGCTGTTCAAAGTAAACTAGAATACCCCCCAGAGAATAACGTTTTAAATGGAGATGCAGAAAAATTTATTGTGACTGGTAAGTGGCTAAAGAACAGAAAATCCCTAGGGAGTGATCAGAAGCCACTTGTCACACTCGGAAAAGATTTAACCATTCCATTAATGGGAAAGAGCACGTAGAGTTGTGGTTAATAACAGTATGGTGCTGAAGTTAGCATCTATGCGGAGCACATTGTGTTATTCCTGTTCTTTGGATTTTACTTCCTTCCTGAAAACCCTTCACCAGCCTCTTCTGTGTCTTGCAAGCATCTTCAAATGGCACACTGGATGTGAAAGGTTTTTAGAAACTAATGGATTATCTGTAGCTTTCCATTCCTCTTATCTCCTGTTCCAAGGTAATTAAAAGATGGCTGTGCCATTGAGTAATTTCAAGCGTTTTGTCCAGTTATCTAATCTGCAGTATTTATCCTCTCTGCACGGCCGGATATCTTCTTCTCTCCTAGTCAAAGAAATCTAGGAGGCTTCACTTTTTTGGTAGATTGCTGACACCGGGGATGGCAGGTCGTCCTGGACCCATGAGTCCCAGGCAATCAGGTGTCAGCAAGGTGGAATGGGAGCTTCAGTGACAGGTTGGCATCTTAGAACATTCCACCACTGACTCCTTGCAGAATGGGTGGCACATAGAGGGAGACCCAAGGACTTGCGAGTCAGGAGTCTCTGCAGCTCACAGACGCAGAGTTCTGTCTTCTTGTCATCTGCTGGAGAGAGATTCAGGGAGCCATCATTTCTGCCAGGTGGGGAAGCCCAGACGCAGCCCCTTTGGGCAGCACGGCCAATTCTGTGCTGATAGTCTTCAGTGGTTGGGGGGGGACAGGGAGCCAAAGTTCAGGGGGCTTGTCCGGTTGGCAATGGTCATTTGGGGGCTATAGTTGAGGCAGCCCCTGAAGGAGCAGAGTTTTCTAGAGGTGACTTCCAAGGTGGGTTTTGAGGAAAATGAGGGGTTTTGAGGAATGGAGGGGAGTGGGGTTCCATAAGGAAACACCAGCGCAGGACTCAGCCAGGACTCACATATGCTGGGAGCCAGAGCTTGGCTGCCACCACGGCCCAAATGAGGTTGGAAGGCAGATGCCGCGGAATGACCACTGGTGATCAGACGTGCTTCCTCTCCATTTTCTGCTGGGAATCCGATGAGTGGGACTGGGAATCACTACAGGTTCTTGAGCTAGTGGGGAAATGCCAAAGCGCTGTATATTTCTTGCTTAATGTCATCAATCCCTTCCAGAAACCTGTATCTCTAACTCTGGTAATATCCCAGACAGTTCCACAGTTTCCAATGTCACTGCTCTGCCCCTGATGGAGCCTGTAATGTTGTAAACTTGGCCTGTTATAAAGAACTTCTTACCAAGACTCCATGGCTCACTCTCCTCTTCTGATTTCAGCACCTTCAGTGCCTCCAGAGTCATCAAAACACAGCTAGGGCTGGGTGCGGTGGTTCACATCCGTAATCTCAGCACTTTGGGAGGCCAAGGAGGGCGGATCACCTGAGGTCGAGAGTCCAAGACCAGCCTGACCAACATGGAGAAACCCCATCTCTACTAAAAATACAAAATTAGCTGGGTGTGGTGGTACATGCCTGTAGTCCCAGCTACTTGGGAGGCTGAGGCAGGAGAATCGCTTGAACCCAGGAGGCGGAGGTTGCTGTGAGCTGAGATCATGCCATTGTACTCCAGCCTGGGCAACAAGAGCGAAACTCCATCTCAAAAAAAAAAAAAAAGCACACAACTAGGAGCCGTCCTCCTGCACACACACCCTCCGAGTCACGCCAGTGCCTCCAGGTGAGGCTGAGACTCCTCAGAAACCACTAGTTCCTCAGCTTGCCTCCCCATTCTCATCTCTGGGATCCCCCACTCCCTTCAGTCTGATAGAAAGTCACAGTTTTAATTTGCCACTGTTTTTGTGCTTCATCAGTTGTCCTCTGGATTCAAATCTCCCTTTTTCCTCCTTCTCCTGTGACCTCATCTATAGAACTCTACCATCTCTAAGGCCTAGTCCGAATGTGGCTTGGTTCATAAAATTTCCCAAGATTTCTCTGAGCAGAACCTGGCTTTTCCTCTTCTGCTGCCATAGCACTGCGGCTGCACGTAGCTCAGTTTGTTCTGTTCATTGTTTTTTTCTATCCTCCCTATGATCTGCTGGTAATTGAAGGGCACGGAAGGTGTCTGATCGATCTGTACCTTGGCATTCAGAGACAAGTTGTTCTATCCCTTGTCTTACTATTCTCTCCCCTGAAACTTGGACATCATTTATTTTTCTCCTCTTCCTCCTCTTGCTAATCTTGGTCCAAGATCCCTTCTCAAAGGTCCTAATTTTGATTCCCTGGAGAGCCAATGCTATTCTGCTTCCAAATCTTCCTTTGAAAGATAGTAATAACAGGCAATTTCATCAGCCCTTTTCCTGCAGCAGATGCTGTAATCATACAAGAGTTCCATTTTATCTGTCCTAAAACTCAGTGTGGTAACCCATTGAGGTCAGGAGGGCTGAATCCTGGGAAAAGCCCCATAGCCCCATTTGGCAGACGTGAGAAATGGAGGTGAATGACTACTTCTCGGGAATGTTAAAAAAAATCCAACTGCTGGTGAATGAGTGTCATGGGTGATGACTATCTGGGGCTGGTATCATGCAGGTGGTAAACAGCTGTGGGTAAAGAAAGGCAGATTTATTAGAGAAAGTAAGAAAATTCATTGCAAGACAGCAACCGGCAAGTCAGCAAGAGAGGAGCTGAGTGCAAAGGGGTTTTATAGGATGGTGCTTGTGTTGGAGAAAGCTCCGTGCAGTACGAATAGCGCCGAGGTCTCAAGTGAGCATTCTTCTAACTTGCATTCTTCTCTCAGCCGAAGGTCTGGTGATAGCTGGGCACAGGATGATTGTGAGTTATTTGTGCAGGAGGCTGACGTGTCCTGGACCATGAAGAAAGGCAGATCTGTAGCTCATCTGGCTTCACTTTTCATTGTCCTCTCCTCCCACCAGCCTCACTCTTTCCATTATTAGGAATCTATAATGAGGACTTCTGTTGAAAGCTTGAAATGCAACATTTAGATGGTCCTTGGCTTGTTATATGATTGTTAGATGCTTTTGAAAATGTCACTTGACCCCCACTTATAATCTATAATGTTAGATCTAAGGGTTCTCAAAAATACTCATCTAATTGCCTGGAGAGTGTGAGGAATGGACAGAAGGTAGGTGACTGGCCCAAGGCCACATAGCTAGTGGGTGCCACATTGTGTAAATGACACAGCATTAACCCAGATACAGAGAGAAGAGAGAAGAGGAAGTTCTGCTTGAAGCTAGGAATGCTGAGGGCATGTAGATTTCCTTCCAAAACAGATAGACTTGGCCTCTTATCAACATATTATTGAGTTGGTTGCCACAGCCACAGTGATTGACTAAACTGGTCACCTAAGTCAGTCACCCATACCTTCTCCCAAAACAGTACGTGTAACTGTCTCAGACTCTCCCTCTGGGACATCGCGCCAGAGCCAGCCTGCAAGCACTGGCACTATAGACAAGGGCAGTGTGAAAAGACTTGGCCAGTGGGGCAGAAATGCTCCTTCTGGGCCAGCTTGAAGACTTGCTGGGCGGATTAAAAGAGATAGTGGTTGCAGAGGGCGCCCTGTCGCTCCTGACTAAACATTTAATGATGATCACCCACATGAGCTACTTTATTTTTTTAGAGACGAGGTCTTACTTTGTTGCCCAAGCTGGAGTGCAGTGGCACGGTTACAGGTCACTGCAGCCTTGAATTCCTGGGGTCAAGGGATCCTCCCACTCAGCCTCCCAAGTAGCTGGGACTACAGGCATGTGCCACCATGCCCTGCTAATTGAAAAAAAATATTTAGAGACAGGGTCTTTCTGTGTTGCCCAGGCTGGTCTAAACTACTTTTATATAATCTCGGAATTTGCATCTGGAAGGAACTTTAGAGATCTTCTAGTTTGGCCTCTCCCATGAGGGATATCTGATGGACGGTCTAGAGTAGAGCCTTGCTACTCGGGGCATGGGCGGCTGACCAGCTGCATCAGTGTAAGGTGCATGCCTGGGATGCTGTTCAAGTGATCTAAGTGCTGCTCAGGGTTCTCTAGGGAAGGGGTCCTAACCACTCGCTCATTGGCAAGCTTTGTGAGTTACTCCGTGTGCCAAGTGGAGTTCTTCCTCTCATGATGTGCACGTCTTGGTTGGGATTCGGCCTTTTGGTGCAACCAGAGCCAGTCTTTCCTGCTTTCTCAAGGGCAATCGTTCAGTCATTTGAAGATAACCATCATTTGTCTCCTGAGTCATCTCTCTGCCTAAGAAGGCTGCTTCCTTCAGCTGTACATCATGACCCATGATTTCCTAAGCCTTCCCAATCTTGCTCCCCTGCCTTTGGACAATTTTCAAGTTTATAATTAATGCAGAGCTTCCTTCCTGAAAAGATTAGAGTTGGTTTATGACAACGAGAGCAAAAGCACAGCCAAGTTGATTGCTGCAGTGATCTTTATTCTTGCTAGAAAAGGGAAATTCAGATTAGGAAAAATGTGGAAGCAGATGTCATAACTGTAAGGGTTAATAAAATTGATATAATTCAGCACAGAATTTGGCTCTGCGCATCTAAACAGCAAAAGTAAAAAGAAATGAACAGTAAGTTATGGATATTTGTTGTTACAAAGGAGAATGCATACAAGACTCTCGTGGGAAATGTGTTTTTTTTCTTGACTCTAAGCTTCTCCTGCAAGTTTTTATTTATTTATTTATTTTTAAATTTATATATTTTGAGACAGAGTTTCTCTCTGTCTCCCAGGCTGGAGTGCAGTGGTGTGATCTCGGCTTGCTGCAACCTCCGCCTCTGGGTTCAAGCAATTCTCCTGCCTCAGCCTCCCGAATAGCTGGGAATACAGGTGTGCACCACCATGCCCAGCTAATTTTTGTGTTTTTGGTAGAGATCGGGTTTGGGTGTGTTGGCCAGGCTGGTCTCAAACTTCTGGTGTCGAGTGATCCAATGGCCTCGGCCACCCAAAGTGCTGGGATGACAGGTGGAAGCTACTTCTCCCAGCCCTGCAATTCTTTTTAAAAAATAAACTATTAATCTTGGAATAATTTTAGATGTACAGAAAAGTTGCAAAGATAATACCAAGTTCCTGTATATTCCTCCTCCAGTTCCTCCTAAGGTCAACATCTTCTAGAACCTTGATACATTTGCCAAAACGAAGAAACTAACATTGCTACATAACTGTTAGTAAACTCCAGACTTCGTTTCGGTTTCAGCAGTTTCACCACTAATACCCTTTTTCTGTTCCAAGATTCAATCCAGGATATCACGTTAGCTTTAGTCATCCAGCCTCCCTGTTCTCCTCTGATTTGTGAGTTTTTCGGGTTTTTCTTCGCACGGGTTTTTATTGCTGTCCTTCTCGTTCTTATTGGGAATGTTGAGTAATCTCCTTAATAAGAAGATTTATAACAAGAGCGGAGTCACCTTTCATACTTCGTCTCTGTGATGCTCAATGAAGGTCGATATTAACATTCCAGGGCATTTTAGTGAAAGAGGATTTCGTAGACTGGGCCAGTGGGGGCTTTCTCGTGGCTTAACCTGGACGGTAGATAGGAGTGAAGGCAGAAGTCGGTGACTCTCGGCCTTCCTTCTTAAACATCACTTCTCTTAGCAAGGCTTTCTAAAAGAGGTGGGAGTAGGTAGTCCAGGGTTGTATTCTCTGACAGTGGCCTGAATGGATGGCAGCTGTATCGCTGATGAAGAACAAATCCTCACCTTATAGGAAAATGGGTGATGTACGATGGTTCTTCGTCATGGTGATATAAAATCTGTCTTCTTTGTTAGCTTAACAATGTGCTCAGAGTTCAGTGCAGAGTTCCCATGCTGGCGCCCCAGTTTTCTCTCCTTTCCATTAAACTTAGGAGTTGGGTATCTCAAAGATTTTCCCCCCAAGCCGTTGCTACCTGAGCGTCAGAGAACGATGCCAAACCCAGTCCCCACAGGAAGTGGGCCGTGGCAGTGCTGTGGTGACGCGGCAGAATCAGGCCACTTAAAAAGGAGCTGGGAAAGGAATGCATCATAACAGACTGGAAAATGTGGATTATTCAGGGACTAACGGAGGCTGTGGTCTAGTTGAAGGAACATTTCTGGCAAAGCAGCCGAGTCCTCAGCTGGCGGAAGAATCTCTCACTGCTGATATAGCAACACCTTGGCCTATTTGACATGGTGCATTATAGAATTTTGCAGCCTTGACAATGGGAATGAGTTCTGCTCTAGAGGAATAAGAGTTTCAGATATCAAATAAGCAGTATGGTATTATTTGTGTAAAAATATCCATCTACGGAAATCTGAGGCCAGGTGATATTCTAATCTCAGATGGCTTCTGAAAACCAATATTACCTTTCAAGGATGAAACATTCCTTGTTATTGGAGTTATACATTAAAAGCTCCAATTTAATTCATTAAGTGCTCCTGGGGCATTGATAGGGAGATTGTAAAAAGAGTAGAAATGACCGGGCACGGGGGCTGACACCTGTAATCCCAGCACTTTGGGAGGCTGAGGTGGGTGGATCACAAGGTCAGGAGTTCAAGACCAGCCTGATGAATATGGTAAAACCCTGTCTCTACTAAAAATACAAAAATTAGCCTGGTGTGGTGGTGTGAGCCTGTAGTCCCAGCTACTCTGGAGGCTGAGGCAGGAGAATCGCTTGAGCCTGGGAGGTGGAGGTTGCAGTAAGCTGAGATCATGACACTGCACTCCAGCCTGGGTGACAGAATGAGATTCCATCTCAAAAAAAAAAAAAAAAAAAAAAAAAAAGTAGAAATTTCAGTCTGGTTGGAAACTGTGACATATGTTCAATTTAACTTAATAAATAATATTTTGTGGGCATATCACATGGCTGGTACTGTCCCAGGCTCCAGGGATACAGAAATGAGTAAGACTAAGTTGTCAGCTTTGAGGACTTAATGGCTTAGAAGGAGACAGCACCCCAGAAGTTCCACATCATGTGTTGATTCGGTTCTTCCAGGTCGATGTGTTTACGGTCATTACGTGTTCTTTACATTGCTTGAGTTTTGCGGCTGTTATGGCCTCTTTTGAATTGTAATATCTAGAAAACCAGTGGAATGAAGAACAGGGGATCTTTGTATCCAAACCCACTGGAAACAGTGAATGCATTAGGGAAACTTGAGAAGAGAAGCATTCTCAAAGTGCTACGGCAGCACTGATAGCAGGTATTTCACCCACCCTGGGGGTAAAGGGACAGCTTCCTGGAGGAGGTGACACCTGAGCTAAATCTGGGGACAAAAGAAACAGTGGAAGTAGGGGGCAGCAGCATCGTTAGGAACATACAGGTACGCAGCGACAATGTTAGCGCCACAGCAGTTCTGTGCTGTTCAGAGGTGAACCGTGCCTCGGCGGGTGGTGCCGTGAAACCGGTAAACCATGCTCCGGAGCCTGCACTCTGACTTCGGCTGATGGAGACTCACAGATGTTCTCATCAGGGTCTGGCCCTTTCGTGTTTTAGATAAATCTCACTGGTGACCACCTGAAGGGTGAGTTGGATGGGGGACAGAGTGGACACTGGAGACTCTGGAAAGATGTTGGTTGGAGAGCACCGTCATGACCCCCTGTCCTTTCCTCTCTGCTGGGATCATTGACCAGTAAGACAAACGTGGCTCCCTGTTGGAGCCTAGAGAGGGATCCCAAACACATCCGGAGCTTTGCGCATGAGAGGTAGTGCGGGCAAGGGCCAGTGGAGGGTTGCATTGGTGCACCATTATTTGCAATACTGAGGGAACGGCCAAGGACCTGGGAGGAAGCCAGACTTTCTGGCAAAGCCAAGGCCAGAGCCTACTGCTCCAGAGGGCACAGGCTGTGGATTCCATGGGTCTTGGTCCCCCTCAAGAGGAACTGCCCTGCTGGGCTGAACTGCTCTCCTTCCATGTGGAGAGGACTGGCCCTCCCGAAGTCCCTGAGATCCTGGGTGTCCCTTCAGGGGCTTCAGTCAAGAGGCCCCCGCTACCCAGGCTGCTGGGCCCTGACTCATAGGAGAAACAGTTCCTCCTCAAGTGGCCAGCTCCCCCGGCCTGCAAGAGCTTGACATCCAGATCTGCATTACATGATGTAAGTAGGCAGAGAAAGGCCCTGAACCATTTAGCAGGCTCGGCGGCTTGAAGGGAAACCTAGCCAAAGCCAGGCTAGGGAGTGCTAGTTCAGACTTGGGAAGAAACAGGTAATTCAAAGCCATGGTGTAAACCTCACTGAAATATTAGACTACATTGCAAAGGAATGGTCAAAGAGCTGAAAAAAAAAAAAAGTTCCCGGAAATAAAAAAAATATTTTTAAATTAAAAAAAAGATGAAATAGGTTAACGACCAAAAAAAAATGGAACAAACATTGATTTAGTAATTTGGACAATCAAAAGAGTGACGAGATCACTGATTACCTGTGGTCCCAGCTCAGCTACTAACTGATTCACAGGTATTAAAACAAATAAACAAAAAAACGACCAGTGAAGTCATAGTGTTCATCTTCTCAAGGGTTTTATATGTACCGCATTTTCACAATATCATCTTCTGCAACATTTCACTGAATAGATTCAGTTCTTCTAGATCAAAGCATCTACATGGATGGAATGGGGCATCTATTACGGTTGCTTTTGTGTTGTGATATCTAGAAAACCAGTGAAATGAAGAACAGGAGATCCTGCTAAAGGAGATCCTTTGTATCAGAACCGATTGCAAACAGGAAAAGCAGCAGTTAAGGGAACATTCGTAGGTTGAAATGTGTTGCAGCTTTTCCCTAGTTTACAAATGAGACATGGCTCATAAGTGGTTCACAGAAACATAAAAACAGAGATGAAACCAGGTGCGGTGGCTCACGCCTGTAATGCCAGCACTTTGGGAGACCGAGGTGGGTGGATCACGAGGTCAGGAGATCGAGACCATCCTGACCAACGTGGTGAAACCCCGTCTCTACTAAAAATACAAAAAATGAGCTGGGTGTGGTGGCGCGTGCCTGTAATCCCAGCTACTCGGGAGGCTGAGGCAGGAGAATTGTTTGAACCAGGGAGTCAGAGGTTGCAGTGAGCTAGGGTCATTCCACTGTACTTCAGCCTGGCAACAGAGCAAACAAACAAATAAACAACAACAACCCTCCCCCCCAAAAAAAAAGCAGAGATTAAAACAATAATGTAAACACCACAACCCAAACATAGAATGTGCAAATACAGAATGTGACTCCGTGTGCTGGAACAAGTAAAACTGTACAATTTGTCAAAAGAGGAGTGCAAATAAGAGGAATGAGAGCAAATAAATGAGAAACTGGATTTTAATGGAAGCAATCTATTTCCCCCGGTCCCTAATAAGTTGTTTGTTATGAAACTTCGTCAAGTATAAAATGGAGCCTTCAAAGTTCTGGTGTTGTTCCCAGACAAAGCACACAAACCTCTTTAGTTATCTTCCAACTGATTAATTTTGTTGCTAATGGCAGAGACGAGACTGAAATTACAGCGACATCGTTCAGAATTCCAGTGTCCTCATAGCAGAATAAACACTGTTGATGGGAAGCTTGTAAAACCAGCCAAAAAACAGATGATAAATATACATGGCGCTAAGGGAAATGAGTTACTGAAAAATTTGTTTAAAAAATGGTGCTGTTGGACCTGACAGGCAATGTGAAAGAGCAGTTGCAATCATGCAAGGTTGGCAGAAACTCCTGACATGTAGGTAGAGTATGAACTGGCTCACGGCACAGGTGTGATGCATACATGAGGGAAAAGAGCTTAGAGAATTGTGTCTTTTCTTTTGGTCACTAAAACAGCATGTGCTCAGAAAAAGATTTTTCATTTAGTTGCTGATTAGTTTGTGAGCTGTGGTATAGATTTGCAAATATGTGTTGGAATCTTCTCTCAGTATACTTACCTATGTGTATAGCAAGGCAGTGCAGTGATTGATAAAGGATTTTTTTTTTTTTTTTTTTTGAGACAGGATCTTGCTCTGTTGCCCAGGCTGGAGGCAGTGGTGAGATCATGGCTCACTGCACCCTCAACCTCCTGGGCTCAGGGGATCCTCACACTTCAGCCTCCTGGGTAGTTGGGACTATAGGCACAAGACACCACGCCTGGCTAATTTTTGTACTTTTTTGTAGGGATGGGATTTTACCATGTTTGCCCAGGCTGGTTTTAAACTCATCAGCTCAAGACTACAGGCGCGAGCCACTGTGCCCAGCCTGCTCTGCAGTGTGGATCTGCATGTGAGTCTCTTCCCTGAGAACAATTGGTAGCCAGTGGTATTTAGCCTTCTTGATCTCGATTCAAGATTGATGAAAATAATGAAAATTGTGACTCTATTCACATTGTATCCACTGGGCACCTAGTATAAGACGTTTGCAACACTCAAGTATCCTGTCCAAGAGAAAGCAGCGCTCAAGAGTTTTTGAAAGCAGGAATGAAACAGGAACATTTCTTCATGGCTGATAATACCATAAACTATTTCTGAGGCTTCAAGTGCTTTGCTGGCTGGTGTTCTCTCAGCCCTGTTTTTATTGTCTTTAGAGCTGGAACCTCTTGCCTCAGGGCTGAGTGACCATGAATTTTCACATCAAGGATAAGATACCAACTTCCAACAGAACAGTGAGGGAAAGTTTGTCTTTTATCAAACACTGGATGATTTTCTTCTCAGGGAGAAACAAATCAATGATTTATTATTTGGCATATTTTAAAATTACCTCCAGGGGCTGCAATGGAGCGTGAACAGCTACTTTCCAAAGAGTAGATTAGGAATCCATTGAGCACCGATGCCAAGCCCAGAGTCATGCCTCCAACTTTTCAGGGTGATGTGCTTATTGACTTAGCATCTGACAGAGAGCTGAAAGAGCCTTCAGTGAGTCATTGTCCACGATCTCCGTGTCCCTGTTCAACCCAGATATCTAGCACTCGCTGACAGAGCCAAACTCTTGCTGCCCTGCTCAATAACTCACAACTGGTAAGTTTAGGTAAATATAGAAGAAGCCAGTCAGATGCGGAATCCTGTGACATAAACTATGTCATCAGTTCTAAGAGTGAAAGAGTTCCAACTGTCATTTTTTTCATTGATCTGAAATGAGTAGTATGGATTTTATGTCTTCTGATTTTTATCATAACATTTACAATGAATCTCTTGAGACATGACCTAAAATTTTTGCTTGAAATGCCCATTAAGTGGTCTGTGGATGGCGAGCCAAAGTTAGAGAAATCTTGGTTTAACCTAACAGAGCTTGTTAAAGAAATGCCCTTCCGTTCCTTATGGGGTGGAGTACATTTTCCTGTTCTTCTAGGAACATTTCTCTCCTGAGAGGGTCTCTATTAATCAGGTTTTTTTTCCAGAGAAACAAAACAAATAGGAGATATATACGTATATATGTAGGTATGTATGTATACAAAGAGGCATACCTTGGAGACGTTGCTGGTTTAGTAAATATTGCTATACAATGAGCCACATGAAATTTTTCTTTTCTCAGTGCATACAAATGTTATGTCTGCACTATATTGTAGTCTATTAAGTGTGCAATAGCATTATGTCCAAAAAACAATAAACACACCTTAATTAAAAATACTTCTAAAAATGCTAATAATCCTCTTAGCCTTCAGCAAATCATAATCTTTTTGCTGATGGAAGGTTTTGCCTTGATGTTGATGGCTGCTGATTGATCAGGTGGTGGTGGCTGAGGGCTGGAGTGGCAGTGTCAATTTCTTATAATAAGATGACAGTGAAGTTTCTCACATTGATTGACTCTTCATTTCAGGAAAGATTTCTCTGTAGCATGGGATGCCGTTTGTTAGCATTTTACTCACAGTAGGATTTCTTTCAAAATTGGAGTCAATCTTCTCAAACCCTGCTTCTGCTTTATCAATTAAGTTTATGGAATATTCTAAACCTTGGTTGTCATTTCAACAATACTCACAGCATTTTCACCAGGAATAGATTCCATCTCAAGAAACCACTGTCTTTTCTCATCCATAGGAAGCAGCTCCTTATCTGTTCAAGTTTTATCATGAGGTTGCAGCGGTTCAGTCACATCTTCAGGCTCCACTTCCAATTCTAGTTCTCTTGCTATTTCCACCACACCTGCAGTTCCTTCCTCCACTGAAAACTTAAACTCCTTAAAGTCATTCATGAGAGTTGGAGTAAATTTCTTCCCGAGTCCTACTAATGTGGATATTTTGACCTTCTTCTATGAATCACAAATGTTCTTAATTGCATCTAGAGTGGTAAATCCTTTCCAGAAAGTTTTCAACTTACTTTTCCCAGATCCATCAGGGGGATCATTATCTATGGTAGCTATAGCCTTGTGAAATGTATTGCTGACGTAATAAGACTTGAAAATCAGAATGACTCCTCAATCCCTGGACTATAGTATGGATGTTGTGTTAGCAGGCATGAAAACCTTAATTTCTTTGTATATCTCCATCAGAGTTCTTGGGTGACTTGGTACACTGTCAGTGGGTGGTAGCATTTTGAAAGAAAATTTTTTTTCTGAGCAGTAGGTCTCAACAGTGGGCTTAAATATTCAGTAAACCATGTTGTAAACAGATGTACTGTCATCCAGGCTTCATTATTTCATGTATACAGTATAGGAAGAGTAGATTTACCGTAATTCTCAAGAGCCCTAGGATTTTCAGAAGGGACAATAGCATTGGCTTCAATTTAAAATCACCAGCTTCATTAGCCCTTAACATGAGAGTCAATCTGATTTTTGAAGCATTGAAACCAGGCATTTACTTCTCACTAGTCATGAAAATCCTAGATGGCATCTTCTTCCAATGCAAGACTACTTGGTCTACCCTGAAAATCTGTTGTTTAGTGAAGCCACCTTCATCGATGAGCTTAGCTAGGTCTTCGGGATAACTTGCTGCAGCCAGCTTCTACAGCAGCACTTGCTGTTTTACCTTGCACTTTTATGTAATGAAAATGCCTTTTTCCCTTAAACCTCATGAGCCAACCTCTGCTAGCTTCCAACTGTTCTTCTGCAGCTTCCTTACCTCTCTCGGATTTCATAGAATTGAATAGAGTTAGTGCCTTCCTCTGGATTAGGCTTCGGCTTAAGGGAATGTTACGGCTGTTTTGGTCTTCTATCCAGACCACTCAGACTCTCTCCGTAACAGCTATAAGGCTGTTTCCCTTCCTTATCATTAGTGGGTTCACTGGAGTAGCTCTTTTAATTTCCTTCAAAATCTTTTTCTTTGCATTCACAGCTTGGCTAATTGTTTGGCACAAGAGACGTAGCTTTTGGTCTGTCTTGGCTTGGACATGCCTTCCTGAGTTTAACCATTTCTAACTTTTTTTTTTTTGAGATGGAGTCTCGCTCTGTCACCCAGGCTGGAGTGCAGTGGCGTGACCTCGGCTCACTGCAACTTCTGCCTTCCTGGTTCAAAGGATTCTCCTGTCTCAGCCTCCCAAATAGCTGGGATTACAGTCACATACCACCATGCCTGGCTAATTTTTGTATTTTTAGCAGAGATGGGGTTTTGCCATGTTGGCCACGCTGGTTTTGAACTCCTAACCTCAAGTGATCTGCCTGCCTTGGTCTCCCAAAGTGCTGGGATTACAGGCATGAGCCACTGTATCTGGCCTCTAGCTTTTAAGTGAGAGATGTGCAATTCTTCCTTTCATTCCAACACTTATAGACCATTGTAGGATTATTCAGTGGCTTAATTTCAATAATATTGTGTCTCAGGGAATATGGAAACCCAGGGAAATAAAGAGAGATGAGGAAACAGCCATGGGTGGGGTAGTCAGAACACCGACATTTATTGATGAAATTCACCATCTTCCATGGGCATAGTTCGTGTCCCACCCACCACAACAATTACAATAGTAACATCAAAGGTCACTGATCACAGATCACCATAGCGATATAATCATAAGCATAATGTTTAAAACATTATGAGAATTTCCAGAATGTGACACAGACTCACAATGTGAGTACCCACTGTTGGAAAAATCTTAATGATAGAATTGCTCAACAGAGGATTAACACAAACCTTCAATTTGTAAAAAACACAATGTCTGCAAACTGCAATAAAGCAGTGCTCAATGAAATGAGATATACCTGTATGTATGTGTGTGTGTGTGTGTATGTCTTATATATCTCATATGTATGGATATGGAGGAAAAGATATATTGTAAGGAATTGGCTCATGTCATCACAGAGGCTGAGCAGTCCCAAGATCTGAAGTTCAAAGGCTGAGAACCAGGAGAGCCAATGGGGCAAGTTCCAGTCCAAGTTCCAAGGCAGGAGATCAGTATTCCAGCTCCAAGGCCATTAGGTAGACGGAGAGAGTAAATTCCCTCTTACTCAGCCTTTTGAAAATTCAGGCCTTCGATTAATGGGATGAGGTCTGCCCACACTGGGGAGGGCAATCTGCTTGACTCAGTCTACTGATTCTAATGTCAGTCTCATCCAGAAACACCCTTATACACATACCCAGAATAACATTTAACCAAATATTTGGGCACCCCATGGAGCAGTCTGGTTGAAACGTAAAATTAACCATTGCAGGGTCCTCAGCCCTCCTGAATGTAAGATTACAAGTGCATTCCAACAGTATCTATGCAAGCTGTGGATGAACTCAGCAGACAATAGAGCTTAAATTGAAGCACCAGAGTGCACACAATCATGTTAATATGCTTCTAGTGTGACTGTACCATCAATTTTCTGGGTCTGCCTGGAACCTCGATGTTTCTAAATCACTATCCTCAGAAAAGGACTCACATATCAGGGTCCTTAATTGCAAGTAACAGACACTGATTCTGAGTGACGTTAGTAGCAAAGTAATTTATTAAGAGGATGTTGGGTAGCTCACACCCACTCACTGAGAGGTCTTGGAAAACTGGACTTGAAGGCTACATAACTGGGGGCCATGATCAAAATTACTTTTGTAGAATTGGTTCTATTTCTGTGTGACTATCACAGCTGCCTCTGCCACCCCATGGAGAGAGCACCGCCGACACTTCCAGCTCTGGATGAGCAATAGCCATTGTTGCTCCGGAGTTCGTTCTTGGTCCAATGCTGCCAGATAGAGGCAGCCTGAGTCCCCAAACTGAAGAAGTTGGAGTCGGATGCTCGAGGGCAGGAAGCATCCAGCAGGGGAAAAAGATGTAGGCTGGGGAGCTTCACACCTCTCTCCTTTTCATGTTTCCCTGCCTGCTTTATATTGGCCAGCAATGATTAGCTGGTGCCCACCAGGTTCAGGGTGGATCTGCCTTCCCCAGCCCACCAACTCAAATGTTCATCTCTTTTGGCAACACCCTCACAGACACACCCAGGATTAATACTTTGTGTCCTTCAATCCAATCAAGTTGACACGCAGTTAACCATCACAGCAAGTGAGGCGGGGTTACTAAGAAATAGATAACAAACATTGCAGCGGTTTTTAGTAGTGTGTTCAGGGGAGAATCCTTGATCAGTTGACATTGGAGCAGGGACCTGAAGGCGATAAGGAATGAGTGATGGGGTTGTCTAGGGGAGAGCCTTCCATTTTCTGATTAAGGTGGGTTAGGTTATTCTGGCAAATCCTGTTCCTAAAAATAACGAAAATGTTGGATTTTTTAAATACACTTTTTATTTTGGAATAAATTTAGGCTTATGCAAACATTATTAGGACAGTATAGAGAGCCTCCATCTACCCCTCACCCAGTTTCCTTGATTGTTAATATCTTACAGGACCACAAGACATTTGTCAGAACTAGGAAACCAGCATTGGTGCAAGTCTATTAACTCCAGGCATTATTTGAATTTCATAAGTTTTTAAGTTACCATCCCTTTCCTGTTCCAGGATCAAATCCAGGATGCACATGGCATCTACTTGTTATGTCTCCTCGGTTTCTTCTGATTTGTGACAGCCTGGCTTTGCTTTTCCTGACCTTGACAGTTTTGAGTATTGGCTATTTTGTAGAATGCCTCTCAATTGGATTTTGTCTGATTTCCTTCCTTCCTCCCTTCCTCCCTTCCTTCCTTCCCTCCCTCCCTCCCTCTCTCCTTCCTTCCTTCCTTCCTTACCTCCCTCCCTCCCTCCTTCCTTCCTTCCTTTTCTTTCTTTACTAATTTTTTTAAAAATGTGTTGAAATACACGTAACTGAAAACTTGCTGTTGTAACCATTTACGTATGTCCATTTCGGTGGTATGAATACATTTATAATGTGCAACCATCACCATGATCCCTCTCCAGAGCACTTTTCATCTTGTAAAAATGGTACTCTATAACCCATTAAACAACAATTCCCTTTTTCCCTTCCCCCACAGCCCCTGGCAACCCCATTCTACTTTCTGTTTCTGTGAATTTGCGTTTTCTAGGTACCTCCTTAGTAATGGCATCATATGATGGTCATCCTTTTGTGACTGGCTTATTTCACTGAGCATAGTCCTCAAGGTTCGTCATGCAGTAGAATGTGTTAGAATTCTCTTCCTTTTTCAGCCTGAGTGGTATCACATGGTGCGGATAGACCACACTGTGTTTATTTATTTACCCATTGATGGATATTTAGGTTGTTTCATCATTTGGCTCCTGTGAACAATGCTGCCATGAACACTGGCCTACCAAGTGTTTAATTTGAAATGTTAGCTAGCTTATATATTCACATGGCTCAAAAACTAGTGGAAAGTCTTGCTCCCACCCGTGTCCATGTCACTCAGTTCCCTTCTGCAGCCTTTGTTATCAATTTCCTATGTGTCTTTCCAGAGATATATGACTTTCCTTTCTTTTCGGCAGAGATGATGCTGACTATCCTATATACACTGTTCTGCACCTGTTTTTAACCACGTTTCTTGGAGATCTAAGTTAAGAGTATTCTTGTTTTGTATAGCTGCATACAGTATCATTGTATGGATGTACCATATTTTATTCAACCGCCCCAGATTGATTGACATTTAGGTGCTTTCCAAGTCTGTGCTTTAGAAACACGGCTGCAGTGAATAATCTTGTAGAACTGTCATTTTTTAAATGCATAAATATATTTGTTTGATACATTCCTGGAAATGGAATTAGTCAAAAGACATTGCATGAGTAATGTGTATGCATAGAGTCAAATGTATATAGATAGATGTCTATATATATCTCAAAATTACTCACATATATATGAGGGATATATTTAGCCAAATTGCCCTCTATGGAAGCAGTCCCAGTTTATGCTTCCATCAGCAATAGGAGAGTGCCTGCCTGCGTGACCTTGCCAACACGATGTGTTATCCAAGATTTTAACCTTTTCTAATTGGACAGGTGAAAAAGTGTTTCTGCTATCCAAAAAAAGACTTGTCCAAGGATGTACATAATGGCCTTATAAAACTGTGTAAGAAACACTGTGCCAGTTTTAAAAAAAAAAGGGTTATGCCAAGAGTATGGCATATGCCTGTAACCCCAGCTGCTCGGGAAGCTGAGGTGCAAGAATGGCTTGAGTCCAGGAGTTTGAAACCAGACTGGGCAACATAGTGAGACCCCGCTTCTAAAAAGTAAAAAAGGCTGTGAAAATCATGCACCTCCACGGCATCCTCCTCAGTGCCCATCTCAGAGGGCCTGTGGAGGACAGTGGGCAAGGCAGCACCTCCAGGGTCCAGGACAAGGGGCCAGAGAGGCCAATGGGCAGAGGGGATCATTTCAGAGGCAGAACCAGGGGTTGCTGGCCTGGCACAGTGAGGAGCTCCAGACTCTGCCAGCCAGAGTGTCTGCTCTGTTCACGTTTAGTGGGATACAGTATGCATGTTGTGGATGGGTGACTACTTAGTATTTTCCTCTTTTCTGAAAAATGTTGATTCACTTATTCTATTCCTTCCTTGATACTGTTGAGCAGATGAATTAAATAATGTGGTTTCTTTAGCTTATGGGTCACTAGGCCTTGAGAAGGCACATTTGGACCTACGATCCTGGACTTTGAGCTAGATGCGGCAACTGGATCGGGTATTAGGATGTTGGGATCTCTGGGTAGGCTGTGGCAGACACTGTAGGATCCTCGGTGAACATTCACCCCACTTTCCTTTGGCCTCTTCTTTCTTGCTTACTGGTTTTGCTGGGGGTGAGTAGCATTTGCCCAGCAGAAAGTTATGAGTAGTGATGGATTTATCCTAATCCAGAAGCCTTCGGAGCAATGGTTTGCTTTTCTGGTAAAAAGAACAGATGAAACTGGTCCATTCTTTCTCTCATCTTTCTACCTTGATGCAGGCAAGCTGCCTGGAGCTGCAACAGCTGTCTGGTAATGATAAGGTGACAACTAAGGATGACAGGGCAGGACAGGAAAAAGGAGGCTGGCTGGGCCTCTGGTCTTACTGAGCTGCTGTATCAGCTCTGCAATTCTGATTTCCAGAGTTCTTGTTATGTGATATAATTAAGTCTTTATTGCTGAAGCCACTATTAACATCTATATTCCATTGCTTACAGCTGGGAGCATTCCTAATGTATACACATGAATGGCCAAAGTCTCCTTTCTCAATGTTTTTAAAAGTGTCATAAGCTCTGATCAGTTCAAACAACCAATCTCAGGTTCCTCTCCTACTTTCCTTCAGGATTGATTACCCAAACCACCCTACTTGCTGTGTCAGTTTTCAAGAACTGTGAAGGGTCTGAGATTTTATACTGCTTGCAAGCTAATAAGTCAGCTTGACAGAATTTTATGGATGCTGGCAAAAGACGTGAGCCTCCTGGTTCAGAGACAAAGGACTTTGTTACTCATTGCAATGACTGTGGCCAGAATATCATCATTTATACCGCTTCCCTGAGCCCCAGGGATGTGAAGATGTTTAGGTGATACCTTTATACAAAGTGGAGTTCATTTCAAGAGAGAAATCCCAAGCCTAAGTAACCTAAATCTTTTATAATGAGTTTAATTCAGCCTGTCCAACTTACACCCTGGAAGGAGACATTATCTTTGTTATTCTGCATAGAGAACAAATATGCCTTGGCTTCTCCTTCTGAGGACCTATCTCTGTTTTCCAAAGCTGTTCATTCTATAAACATCCTTGGAAAGATACCCTGGAATAAAGACAGTGATAACCTCTGCTCTAAGACATGCACAAAGCTGAGAAACCCATGGAAATTGTCTCCCAATATTAGACTGTATTCTTAGTTGCAAGTAATAGAAATGGACTCTGGCTGGTTTAAGCAAAAGGAACTTGTTAAACCAATGTAAGATACAGCCACTTTAGAGAACTACATATATGGCAATATCTAGTTAGCCTGGGGAGGCTCATAGGGAAAGACCTATCAATTCTACTCCTAGGAATATACCATCTAGGAACCCTGGCACACAAAGACCAGAAGAGATGTGTCGGAGTCTACAGCAGTATTCTTTATATTAACATAACATTAGAAATAACTCAAATGTCTGGCTATAAGGGAATGTACAAATTGTGATACATACTTTCAGTGGAATTCTCTTAGAGTCACAGGAATAAAAATGAGTGAACTAATAGCCACATGCATCATCCTGGAATAATTAATAATCATAGTGTTGAGTGAGAAAAAGCCAGTTTCAGAAGGATATGTAGAGTATGACACCATTTATGTGAAGTTTAAGGATATACAGGATGGCCAGGCACTGTGGCTCACGCCTGTAATCCCAGCTCTTGGGGAGGCAGAGGCAGGAGGAGAGCTTGAGCCCGGGAGTTTGAGACCTGCCTGGGCAATATAGCGAGACGCTGTTCGAAAAGAAAAACAAAAGAATATACAGGATGACGCCATGTCATGCTCAGGGTTCCCTAATATATAGTAAAGTATTAAAGGTGCATGAAAATGGGAATACCAATTCCAAGCAGTATGTTGTCTCTCCATGGGGAGGCAAGCAGAATTTAACTAATTTATCCAAGCTTCACATTTAAGTTTTATTATTGATTAAAATTCTCTAAGAAATAATGTTGATTAGCTTAGTAGAAGGATAGAGACATGCAAGCCTGAGCTCAGAGGCCACCGAGCCAGGACCAAGGGATATAATCCCAGAGCATTCCAGTACAGAGTGGGTCTAGGGAGGACACAGCTGTTGTCTTGCTGAAGACTACACCCTTGGTACCAGCACCAGGAGCCCTGGCTCTGGACACGGGTTGCCGCCCTAGCAGTTCACCACTCTTCCTCCAGGGACTCAAATATTGTTGAGAATCATCTGTGGTCCTTGCTTCCTTGCCTCACACACCTGTTTCAAAGTCTAGGCCGTGAGATCGTGCTCTAGCAGCAGGAGGACTGGGAAGGTAACCAGCTGGCGTTTTGGGCCCCTGTAGTGGGAGGTAGCCTCTGCCTCTCACTAAAATTCATAAGATTGGGAACACCTCAAACATTGAAAGGAGGTTCAGAGGCTGGGTGCTCCAAAGAGTGACAATTCATGACAAAGATCAATCCATGTGGTCAGGTGGAGTGTGTAAGGAAATCATCCTAGGAAACAGGAATAGAAGAAGTGATAACATTGAGGTGGTGTTTTTCTAGATAGTACGAGGAAAACAGTATGAGATAAAATTTCGTAAGCTGAACTTTACCTGGTTATGAGGAGTACTGAAATGTCAATTCCTCTGTCCATGGTTGTTTTCTAATGAGTTATTTTTTTAATTAAACTGAAGCGATCTCCTTTGTTAGTCTGTAAGCTCTTCAAAGTCTAGGACCATTCCTTACTTTGGAGAGATGCCATATTTGCTCTGGGAAGCCAAGGGCATTTAGGGCAGAGGGAACTGGGCATGAATCCTGAGTCTGCTGCTGCTTAGCTGAATGGCAGTGGCTCCATTAGACAGCCATTCTCAGTCTTGGCATGTTTGAAGCCATTCCTGTACACTTTATAAAATTAGTCATGGAAGAAGGAACAGGAAGAAACTAAGATAAATACTGAGTGTGCCTGCTTGCAGCACACCCAGTATTAATCATGAGGGCAGCCTGCTCTCTGACCTGCTTCCTCCTAGCTGTTTGGTGCATGTTGCCTCAGAATCACATAGACCCTGCAAGATTGTAGTTCCCCTTAACTGCTCTATAGATAACAGCTTGAATGTTACAAAGTGTTACATTTTCCATTTGAGATATTCTTTCAGGTTCTGCATACCAATGAAGCTACTGACGTCAGCTGGCCTGAAGGACCTCACAGGAGCTGACTCACCGAAGAATGCAGTTTCCACATTCTGATGATTTCATCCTCTCTCCTCTAACCAATCAATGACCTCAATTTTCCAGTTCCTTGCCCTCCATGGTCGCTTAAAAAAACCCAGTCTAGAGCTCCTCAGGGTGATGGATATGAGGGCCTCCTTCCATCTCCTTGCTTAGAGCCCTGTGATCATTAAACTCTTTCTCTGCTGCAAACTCTGCTGTCTCAGTGTAATTGGTATGTTACTGTGCAATGGGCATACCAACCTGTTGGTCCTGTAATATCCTCACGAGCAAAATGGAGCTTGCATCCACTTCTCTGTGTGGTAAAGATGAAATTCAACATGAATAAAATGATGTTCAGTAGATGTTCAGTAAATATTTCTTCCTTTCCCTTAGGTCCTTCGGCCCTTTCTGTTTCTCTTTAGGATGTAGCACTGGGCTTAGAAAGCCCTTGGCTGGTGTTTGCTGAATGAACTTGGCTTCATCATAACATTTGTGGACATGCTTCTTCCCTTTCTGTTTATAGCTGCCATGTGTGAGCTTATCTATAGCCCTTTTGCCAGCTTGGTATAATTCTGTTTTTCATGGGCAGCCTTTAGAAAATTCTTATGTGCCAAGATGACTTCACTGTTGCTTGTTTTCTTCATTCACTAAACAATTCATTTAACAAATGGAAAGACCAGATATGTGCTTGGCTCCAGTGGTAAATAACATGGATTTCACTGCCATGAAACTGGCAGCTACAATCAGAGGGACAGGCTTGACAATCTGCCCCCCCTAGAATGGTGAACTCAGACAGTGCACAGCTCTCACGGCCACCTAACCCAGCAGTTCAACATATGCAATTTTATTCTGCTGTCATGCCATATAATTCTCAGGGTTTTCTAAAACAAAACAAAAAAAAAGAAGTTTTCAGTTAATTACTATTTAATCATCTTATCAATATTTTGAGAAAATGACATTCCTACACATATTTCCCAACATGCCCAAAGCTCAGCTTTTATTTACTTTTATTTACCAAGTCTCAGTGGTCTTTTGGGTAGGAATTAGCCAGGTCCCGTTTTAAATTTCTTGCTTCATGTAGTTTCGAAAAGCTCTACTTCCAGTTTTATCCCTACCTCTTCCCGCTGAGAAGGATCATGAATACAACAACTGCCTCTAAGCACTGATTATGAAGACGGCAGTGAAATTACTGTATCAACAGTCTCATTAATCCAATCACTCGAGATGAACCCTGGTGGAAATTAATAGTGGCTGTAATGTAGCAGGGGATTGGCCCACTGGAAGCACAGGATGGACTGCTGAGCCCATCTGGCTCCAAATTCTGATGTTCGATCCTGCGGGGGAAGGGAGGGAAGATGGGAAGGCACAGGCTTCCCGCAAGGCTGTTGAAAAGAGGTGAGGCTGTGGAGTGCGGTAACCGTTAAAACGAATGAATCAGGGCTAATGTATGGACAAAGCTCTAAACCATCATGGAAAGAAAAAAAAAGCAAGTTGCAGAATGATGTAAAACGTTTTGAAATCTGCAACTATTTATGACATTTATATGCGCATACAAGTTGCAGAGGGTATAAAATCTTTTGAAATCTACTAAACAACTCTTTATGGTATTTATATGTGCATACTTAAATAAAAAGCTATTAAATATACATGGGCACAACAGGGTCTGAATTCAGGATAGTGGTTGTCTCTGGGGAGGGACGAAGTTTGTGGGAGCTACCTGGGGACTCAAATGTTACAGTGCTTCAGTGAAAGACAAGAAAGAGCTGAAGCAAAAGGAAGGAACAGGTGTGAGGACAGGAGCTTTGCCACCCTGTGGACACAGCCAAGGTGATACAGTGAGAAGTGGATGGAGCTGGATGGGAGACCTAAATCCAGATTTAGAAAACCGAGTACCCCATGTTCTCAGTTAAGTGCCCTTAAATCATATGAGAACATGGGGTATTTGGTTTTCTGTTCCTGAATTAGTTTGCTAAAAATAATGCCCTCTTGCTCCATCCATGTTGCTGCAAAGGACATGATCTTGTTCTTCTTTATGGCTGCATAGTATTCCAGGGTGTATGTATGTACCACATTTTTTAAATCCAGTTTATTATTGATGGGCAGTCAGATTGATTCCATGCTTTGCTATTGTGAATAGTGCTGCAATGACCATATGTATACATGTGTCTTTATAATAGAACAATTTATATTCCTTTGGGTATATACCCAGTAATGGGATTGCTTGATCAAATGATATTTCTGCTTTTTTGGTCTTTGAGGAATCACCACGCTGTCTTCCACAATGAAGTTATTTGCGATCTGCTTCGATTTTAAGAAAAGAGAGTAGCCATCCAAGACAAGAAGAGACTGCGTGGACAGCAACAGCAAAGGGCTTGGAGGAGGAGGAAGAGGAGAAGAACAAATGACAGAGAAAGCATGGAAGGAAAGAGACCCAGACACAATCAGTCAGCCAGTCCCCTGCTACATTACAGCCGCTAACAGGATTGTTTGTGCTGTGGCTGGGTTGTGAGGACCTTGGGTGAGTTTTTGCAATCATTTCTGTGAAATGATGTGTTTCTGTGAAAATCCTTCCTCAATGTACATGGATTCATTGTGAAGACTGTTGAGGGAGGGATTCTTAGCAACCCAGGAGAGCTTTAGAGCAGGTATTGTCAGGCTGGGAAAAGAGCGAGATGCTCCCAGCAAGGGATCTCTGCATGCATCAGCACTACAGAGCTTAGATGTGGAAAACAAAATCATCCCCCCAAATATGAGGAAATACCTGGCAATTATAGAGAAAAATATCTCTAAAGCTATTCCACATTCCTTACCTTTAGGGATGGCTCCATGCCTGACCATAGCTGTTGAGACCTTCCAGACTCTTCTGTGTACAGGCTCACCAGGTAGGATGGGAAGAAAATGGAGGGGAAAAAACATCATTACCTACCTGTAGCAAATCAGCCTGCTCATCCTCAAGGGAACAAATTGTGTAAGATTCGTTTGCATCTGTGAGCCTGGGGCTCTTTATCTATGCTTTTGCACAGGGGACTTTTAGCTTACTGGGGACATACAGTGGATGAGGTTATATCTTGGAGACCCTCGCCTGCAGTCTCCCCTCAAAAGACGATCTCTTCAATGAACGGCACACTTGAAGCCACCCAGAATTTTGACTAATTGTTTGAGGTATTTTATTTTATTTAGCTTTTATTTTAAGTTCAGGCGTGCATGTGCAGGTTTGTTATATAGGTAAACTTGTGTCATGGGGTTTGTCGTACAGATAATTTCATCACCCAAGTATTAAGCCTAGTACCCATTAGTTATTTTTCTGGATCCTCTCCCTCCTCCCACCCCCTTCCCTCTGACAGGCTCAGTGTGTGTTGTTCCCCTCTATGTATTCATGTGTTCTCAGCATTTAGCTCTTATCAGTGAGAACATCAGGTATTTGGTTTTCTGTTCTTGCCTCAGTTTGCTAAAAATAATGCTCTCTAGCTCCATCCCTGTTGCTGCAAAGAACACGATCTTGTTCTTTTTCATGGCTGCATAGTATTCCAGGGTGTATATGTACCACATTTTCTTTATCCAGTCTATTATTGATGGGCATTTAGATTGATTCCATGTTTTGCTATTCTGAATAGTGCTGTAGTGAACATATGTATGCATGTGTCTTTTTTATAAAAAATCATTCTTTTGTAGAATGATTTATATTCCTTTGGGTACATGTCCAGTAATGGGATTGCTGGGTCGAATGGTATTTCTGTTTTTAGGTCTTTGAGGAATCACCACACAGTCCTCCATGATGGCTGAAGTAATTTGCGATCTGTTTGGATTATTTTAAGACAAAGGACCTCTGCCGGAGGTTGCGTTGTCTGTTGGGTTTGGGGTGTTCGTTGCATTTGTCTCTGCATGTCTGTGTCCATTCTCTGTCTGTGGCTGACTTGCTATGTCCGGGTCTCTTTCCTTCCACACTTTCTCTGTCATTTGTTCTTCTTCTCTTCTTCCTCCTCCAAGCCCTTTGCTGCTACTGTCCGCACAATCTCTTCCTGTCTTGGATGGCTGCTCTCTGTTCTCTCTTTTTCTTGGGTTCTGTCTCTTTCTCTCCTTCTCTGGTGTTTCTCTGAACGTTTTCTGGTGCCTATTGATTGGGGACCAATAGGATGTCTCTCTCTGTTGAAATGGTCACTTGGACTCAAACTATGACTTCTTCCCTATTTTTCCGCAGGAATGCACTTTGTCTTGAGTAGGGCTTGCTGGGAGGAAGTGATGGGGAGTGAACACGGTTTTCTTTTGCATGCGGCACGGTTCTCTCCCTTCTACCAGACACCTAGAGGGAGATGAGGCTGGGACCATGCCGAATTATCTTTGCCTCTGAGATGATACTGGGCTGTGTTTTAGAGAGTTACTTTCAGGGAAACAAATCCCAAGAAGGGGGCACAATATGACTTTGCAGTTCAGACACGGTTATCATTTTGGGATTTCAGAGAGCAGTTTACTAGAGAGAAAAATCCTCATTTCAGGCAGTTATAGCTTTTCACTACCACAGGTCCCTACTGATGGTATCAAAAGAAAAGTAAACAACAGGAAAAAATGGTTCCCTTTCTCCTGAGGTCTGTGTGGCCCCTTGTCCGCCTGTACTCGCCACACTGGGGTTGTGGAAAGTGGACTGAATTGATCTAAGCTTGTGGAACTAATCTGCACCCTAAACCGACAAAGGCACGGACCAAGGCATCAAACAGTGAAATAGTCGGGTGGTAAGGCTGTTTGAAGTCGGCAGACAGCGTGAGTTCAAGGTAGCCAGGAAGAGCTCCAGCTTCTTATCTGGGTGTCAAAACATTTTTAATTTTTTTGGTCAGTGATGATAAGCACTGTGGACTCAGGCTCAGGAGGTTTGGCTGCTAGTTCACAACTAGGTCTGTTTCTCTGGTTTTTGTTTGTTTTTTGTTTTCTTTTGAGACTCCATTACCCAGGCTGGAGTGCAGTGGCACGATCACGGCTCACTGCAGCATTGACCTCCTGGGCTCAAGCAATCCTTTTGCCTCAGCCTCCCAAGTATCTGGGACTACAGGTGTGTACCACATAACCTGGCTGATTTTTACACTTTTTGCAGAGATGGGAGTCTTGCTTTGTTGACCAGGCTGCTCTTGAACTCCTGGCCTCAAGTGATCCTTCTGTGTTTGCTCTAGCTAAGTGTTAATGCCAGAGTTAATCTACATTATGAGTACATCTATGCGATGCAAATACACACCCTCCCACCCATGTGTCATCGTGTAGATGCAGCCTATCTAGAGTGTAGGCAGATTCCCCCTTCCCTTTTGAGGTGACCCTGGCCCTGCTGCATGTCCTACAGGTTTTTCTGGGTGCTTGTTGCTTCTCACCAGCAGGCCTGGCGCTGCCAAGCACGTGGTTCACGCCTCCTCTGGGGCTCTGTCCCACCACGCTGCAAAGGTGTGGTACGGTCCCATGCCTTCCACCCCTGGGCCACGGCTGTCTTCCTTGTTCTGGACATCAGGACATGAAGGGGGGCTGCATGGGCTAGTGGGTCAGAGCACAGGCAGCAACCCCTGTGTCTGCCTCTTCAAGAGGGATCACAGTTAAATGAAAGCTCTTAGAGGAGGACCTGGAAACGCAGACTTAGAATCATCAGAGAGCCAGGTCAGCCTCCTGTGTTGACCCTCTTTCCTTGGACCTCAGGAATCTGACAGAACCAGTGAGCTTCGGTTGGGGCCTGCGAAGAGGGAGAGGTGCTCAGCTCTCCAGATGGACAGCCCCGCCCTGGCCCCGCCTCCAGGCCCCGCCCTGGCCCCACCCCGGCCCCGCCTCCAGGCCGTGCATCTCCAGGCCCAGAGAGTTTCCTTCATTAGCTCCTTGGCATTGGGCGCCCTGTCCATGCTGGGGACCTGGGCTCTTTTATTAAACTGGAAATCACAGGAGTTTACAGGATTGTGCCTTGTCCCATCTTAGATCTGAATGAGAGCTCCAAAGAGCTTCCATTTCCGTTTAACGGAAGTAGGATCTGGAGGGAGAGTACAGAATTTCACCTTATCAAAAAGAAATTTCCAATAAAGCCAGCCAAAGATAGAATAAGAGAGGCTAATGTCGACAAGAGGCAAGAGTTCATTGGGAAAGTTGTTGGAAGGACTCTGGCATTAGGTTAACAATAGGGCAAGGTGTCTTTAAGATTGCATTCTGTTCTAAGGCTCTGTGTCTGTAAAAGCCACGTGGCTCAGTGCAGCATCTGGTTTGATTCTTTGCTTGTTTCTTTATGCTTTTAAATAAGTTGTAGTTCTCTTTTACCATCTTAGAGCATGTTTAACTTTTATGGCAGCAAAGCCCAGTGAGGATTCTGATTCTTAGTCCCTCCCTTCTGCCCGATCACCTCCTTCCTTGCTACTTCAAACTTTCCTGATAAGGACCCATCATTCATTCACCCATCACTCATTCAGCAGATGCCAATCATCTGCTGTGAGCCAGGGCAGGGTTAGGCTGGGAGAAGGAAATAATCTGGATGAGATGTGTTTCCTGCCTTCAAGGATGTGTCATTCTGGGTTAGGCAGACAGACGCACAGGACAAAGAAAAGAATTTCTTTTGTAAAAGAATTTATTTTTTGTTTGGAAATTTAATTGTCTTAATTTGTGAGCATCCAAATGATATTAAAAGTACATGATAAAGTAGACGTCATCTGAAATCCTGCCCATTCGGAGACAACCACCTTTGTGTATCAGTTATATATCCATATGACAAAACAGATGTAAACAAAATGGTGGGATGATGCCTGAGTCCTGAACAGATTTGTATTGGATATGGTAAGTGTAATGATGGATTAAAAACACAGGGCATTATGGGAGTCCAGAATTAGACTGGGGGTGGGACACTTTCAGAACCTGAAAACATTCTAGATCCTTTTTCTTCCCTCTTTCTGGACATCCCAGTTCTTTTTTCTTTTTTTGAGACAGGGTGTTACTCTGTCACCCTGTCTTGAGTCTTGATGTCCTGGGCTCAGTCGACCCTCCTGCCTCAGCCTCCAGGGTAGCTGGGACCGTAAGCACATACCACTACATCCAGCTAATTAAAAGTTTTTTTCGTAGAGACGGAGTCTTGCTATGTTGCCCAGGCTGCATTCCAGTTCTATGGTTTCCAGCCTAGTTCTCCTGGTCCCCTCATTGCTGCTTCAATTGTCCCTGCTTAGAAAAAGGGACTTGCCTCTTCCCACTCAAATCAAAGAGCAAATTTATTGCTTGAAGCAATACATGTTTGAACCATACAGATAAAGAATAAAGAAATAAATGTTTGAAACATACAGATAAGAATGAAGAATAAAATCCCACATACCCATGACCCAGCTTCATCAAATCCTAATATTAAGCCATATTTGCCGGAGAATTCTTTAAAAGAAATTACACATTACAGACACAACTGAGGCCTCCTGTGTACCCTTCTGGGGTCTTTTCCTCTCCCTCCCTCTCCCCACAAAGGGGATCATTCTCATGAATTCAGCCTTCACCATTTCCGTTCACATTTTTATATTTTTGCCGCATAGGCTATGCATCCATAAAAATTATGAAGCCTTGTTTTGCCTGTTTAAAAAGTTTATATAAATCGGATCTTTGTTGTAAATATGTCCCACTGTGTCTCGAATTTTTTTTTGTTTTTGTTTTTTGGGTTTTTTCTCAACATTCCTTCTGGGATTTATTCAAAGGTGATAGATGCAGCTCTCGTTCTTTCATTTTAAAATGCCATCTGGCGTTCCAGTGTCTGAATGTAACCCAGTTGACTTATCCATTCTTCTGTGGTGGGCATTAGGTTATTTCCATTCGGAGGGACTTGTTTTGTTCTGTTTGTGTTAGGTACAATCAACATTCTTGAACATGTCTTTTTAGGCTCATGGGTAAGAATTTCTTCAGGGCATTTATAGATTTTAAACTGGTGGATCAGAGAGTGTGCACATTTTCAGCTGAACTGGATATTGCCGACTTGCTCTGAAAAGTCCTACAAATGTGTACTCCTATGTGCATTATGGGATTTCCTGTTTCTCTCCGTCTTTGCCACCCTTTGCCTGATGAGTGTTTGGATGTTTTGCCGGTCTGGTGGGTCCGAGGACTTTTCACTGTTTTACTTTTTATTTTCTTCATTGCCAGAGACATTGTACATCTTTTCATGTGTCTGTTTGCTACCTGGGTTTTCTCTCCTGGGAACTCTCTTTCTGTTGAGACAGCCAGGTGGGAGAGGGTTCCGGGAGAAACTTCATTTGCAGCTGGGAGGAGGCTGGCCCCTCCTCTTGCTGTGTGGAACCTGGAATTCAAGTGTTCTAGCGGGGACTCTGGCCATGTGGAGTCTCTGTTCACCCCCTTTCCTTTTCACCCAATAAAGCCCTGTGTTACTCACTATTCAAATTGTCTGCAAGCCTGAATTTTCGTGGCAGTGGGACAGAGAACTCCGTCTTTAGCTGAACTTAAGGAAAAGTCCTGCAACACCGTCTCTGCCCATTTTTCCCACGAATGTCACTGGCATCTTCCCTGTGAGAAGGAGAAAGCAGCTCCAGACATCCAGGAGCTGGTCTGGGACTGCCAGCAAGGCTTGTTGAACAACAAATTTCATACAGCATAAACACCAGATAAGGTCACACTGGGATCACGACGGATTAATACAAAAACAAGACCTCCCTAATGATGCTGGAACACAAATGATACAGGAACATTGCCCAAGCCACAGGATACCAGGCATACCCCTGTGGTAGGTAGAATTCTAAGCTGCCCCCAAGGTTTCTGGCCCCTGTTGTACCTGCACCCACCCCCGGTTACTTAGCAAACATTACTCTAGCTACTGCTGTGAAAGGAATTGACAGATGTAATTAACATCCCAAATCAATTGACCTTAAAGTAGGGAAATTAGGCCAGGTATGGTGGCTCATGCCTATAATCCTAGCACATTGGGAGGCTGAGGGGGTGGATTGCTTGAGCCCAGGAGCTCGAGACCAGCCTGAGCAGCATGGCAAAACCCTATCTCTACAAAGAATACAAAAAAATTAGCCAGGCCTGGTGACACATGCCTCTAGTCCCAGCTACTGGGCAGGCTGAGGTGGGAGGATCACTTGAGCCCAGGGAGGCTGAGGCTGCAGTGAGCTGTGATCATGTACGCCACCACACTCCAGCCTGGCAACGGGAAAAAAAAGGGGGGCGGGAAATTGTCCAGTTGGATCTGATGTAATCAAATGAGCCCTTTAAAAGCACAGTTTCTCTACAGTTTCTGTAGCTGGCCATGGAAGAGGAAGTTAGAGGGACACGTGTGGTCTGACCTAGAAGAAAGCCAACTCCATCCTGGGAACTGTCTCAGGGGCCACATGCCAGCAATGGCAGGGAGCCTCGAGGAGCTGACAGCAGGCCCCGGCCTTCAGCTAGATGGAACATGGGGACCTCAGTCCCATCGCTGCTAGGAAATGAATTCTGCCAGCAGCCAATGTGCCTGGAAGAGGATCCAGGGTCCAGAAGACAATGGCAGCCCAATGTAGCCCCAGCCCAGTGAGAGCCTGCGAGAGAATCCAGCCATGCCGCACCTAGACTGCAGACCTGTAGTATCTTCAGGAATGGGGAGAATACTTTGGTGGTATTTTATGGCACTAAGTTTGTGGTAATTTGCTACAAAGAAATAGAAGACGAAGACAGCCTTCTCCCAGACACTGGGAGTGATCACTGCATCTTTGCCACTTACAGCTTTAGCCTGAGCCTAGTTTCCCTCCTCCTAGGTAAGAGGCATTAAGATACTGAGTCACAGCCAGTTGCAGTGGCTCACACCTGTAATCCTAGCATTTTGGGAGGCTGAGGCGGGCAGATCACCTGAGGTCGGGAGTTGAAGACCAGCCTGACCAACATGGAGAAACCCCGTCTCTACTCAAAATACAAAATTAGCTGGGTGTGGTGGTGCATGGCTGTAATCTCAACTACTCGGGAAACTGAGGCAGGAGAATCACTTGAACCCGAGAGGCAAGG